TCAATTTTTTTTTAATCTATTTTCTCCCTATTGCCCAACTATGTAGGTTCTATTGTACTACCTTCCAGTTCACTGATTCTTTCCTTTGTCCTTTCCACTCTACTGTTGATCTCATTTACTTAGTTTTTAATTTTGGTTATATTTTTCAATCCTAAAATTTTCATTTTTTTCTTTATATCTTCCATTTCTTTGCTAAGGCTTTCTGTTTCTTTGCTGAGGCATTCCATTTTTTAAAATTCATTTCAAGCATATTCATCATTGCTATTAGAAGTGTTTTTTTTTTTATCATGGCTCCTTTAGAACCCTTGTCAGATAATTATAACATCTCTGTCATCTTGGTGTTGGCATCTATTGACTGGCTTCTTATTACTGCTGGGTGAGAATGAGAGTTCCAGATCCCATGTGGCCTCCACTGACATGATGTTGGTGATGGTGGGGCTTCTAGCCATGGTGGTTGGTAAAAGTCCTGACCCTTCACTAGGCCTCCTATTACATTACTCCAGCAAGGAGGGAGAGGAGCTGGGTGGGGGTGAAGTCCAGGCTTCCTGTGTGTTCTCCACTGATACTGCCTGGAAGAGTGGCTCATTACCAGCTGTCTGGGATGAAAATCCCCTTTCCCTACTTGGTCTTCTCTAATGCCACTCTGATGCGGACGTTGGGGTGTCTTCTTTTAGTGTCTCGAGGATGGAAGTCTATGCTCCCCACTCAGCCTTTGCTGTTATGGGTGTAAGCGGGGGCCACAGTTTTTCCTATGGTGTTTGGCTGGGGTAGAGTAGTTATTGTCTAAGAGTTTTCTGTCTTGCTAGACTGTCCCTTAACTGGTCTTTTGACTAGAGAACACGCATTTGGTGGTTTTTTGCTTTGTTTTCTTTTGTTTTGGTCTACACCTGATAGGTTTGGTTTCTGGGTTGCCAACTTCTTCAGCAGCTTCATCCCCGTTTTATTTCAGCCATCTTGGTTTCAGGTACTTTCATCCTTTACCTGGACTGTTGATTTAACCCCTAGTGAGTCTTTCAGACTGTAACCTATAATCTCTGACTTCTCCAACATAGCCTCCACTTCTGCCAGTGTTTTCTTCCTAGGAAGCAGAACTGACCATGTCACCCTTCTGTTAATACCATTGTTCATAAAATAAAATTCCATTTCCTTTGTAAGGCACTGCAGATCCTCCAAGGTCCAATTCCAACTTTGCCTTTCCATCTTTAATTTCTAGTAAATCCTTCTGCCTACCTTCTTGCTCTAGACATGCCATATACCTTCCCTCACATTATTCCTTTGTCTCTAGTACATTTCTTTACTCTGGGAAGCATGGTTTAGAAGTTAAAAGCACTAGAGATGGGCTGCCTGAGTTTAAATTCCATCTCCAATATTTTCTAGCTGAGTGATCTTGTATAGCACTACCTCTCTGTGTCTCAATTTTCCCATCTGAAAAATGGGAATAATAATAGCACAGGATTGTTATAAATTAATATTCTTAAATTAAATATTCTTAAATATTCTACATAAAGCATTGCCTGGTTACAGAGGAAGGTCTCCATAAATACGAGTTATTAGTATAATTTGTATTAAATTAATACTCAGTGCTTCAATTTAAATCTTACCTCTCTATGAAGTTTTTATGAGTTCTGCCCACTGCTCTCCCATTATTGGAATTAATTACTCTTTCCCATCTGCACCCACGGCACTTAACTTACATTGCTTTTATACTTCATTCTGTTTGCTTAGCTAGGTTGCAGATCTCTCTCACTAACCATGTTTGTTCATTTCTAGATTCATTCAGTCAATGGAAGCATTCACTATGAGTCAAACACTAGATCACAGAGGTGTCTAAGACATTGACTCATATCCATGACAGAATTTATTTTAAAGAACTTATGTGCTCAGGCACTGTGCTAGGCAACATAAATGGAGAAGGATGGGACATGAGATCCCTAAGGATTGAATGATGGTTAAAAAAAAAAAAAATGGAGAGAGGAAGTATAAGTTTAGCAGGGAGGCTGAATAAAGGGAAGGTCATTTAAGGGTGAGGGCAGGACTTCCCTGTTGGTGCAGTGGTTAAGAATCCACCTGCCACTGCAGGGGACACGGGTTTGATCCCTGGTCTAGGAAGATCCCACATGTGGCAGAGCAACTAAGCCCATGTACCACAACTACTGAGCCTGTGCTCTAGAGCCTGCAAGCCACAACTACTGAGCCCACATGCTGCAACTACTGAAGCCTGCGTGCCTAGAGCCCATGCTTCACAACAAGAGAAGCCACTGCAATGAGAAGCCTGCGCACCACAATGAAGAGTAGCCCCCACTCACCACAACCAGAGAAAGCTTGCACACAGCAACGAAGACACAACTCAGCCAAAAAAAAAAAATTTTTTTTTTAGAAAGGGTGAGGGCAATTAAGCAAGTTTATTGTGGATAAGACCAGCAAATTGAAAGAGAGAGATCTTGACAGTGATTAGGAAAGAATGAGAAAATGTTTGAAGGAGAAAGACATGTGTGTGTGTATACATACATGTATGTGCACATATATGCATGTTTTTTGTATAAACACATCTTGTGTGTATATATGTAAATATATGACATATATACATACCTCTCTCTCTCACACACACACACACACACACACACACACACACTTGGAGGAGGTGGGGGAGAGAAGGGAAGGAGAAAGGGAGAAACTGCAAGCTTGAGAGAGAATTATACACATATATAATCTCTCTTTCTCGCCTTCTCTCTCTGTCTTTCTGTGTGAATAATATATAGTAAAGTATATCTTTCTATCTGCCTACCTCTGTATAGATAGAGATGGAGATCAGTCAAACAAGAAAGGTAAAAGAAGGATGAATCACTGATGGAATGAAATCTTATAGGAAGAAGGAGGAAAAGATTTGATCAAAAGCACAGGTAAAACTCCCTTAGAGAAATGAGGGAGGAAGGTCAGGATCAGATGGGAGAGAAGGGAGTTACAGTTCATGTAAGTTGGCTGCTGTTTCCTCTGGGAAGATGGGAAGTACAAGAGGGGTGAGGATGGAGAAGGGGGCTGAAAGAAAGGGGTAGTGGTTTGGTACATTTTCTCTTGGAAATGAGAAAGGACAATGCAAGGGACTTAGAAGTTTTCCTAGCAATATAAGGGCCTCACTGAGGGTGTAAACCAAACATTTACAATGGTGCTAATATGAATGATTTTTTTTTTTTCAGAAACACTTAGCCTTTGGACAAGAAAGCTGGGAGGTGAGGGTTACAGTGGTCTTGGGGTTAGGCCTGGGGATGGTGGGAGGGCAGCAGAAAGGTCCTGGTAAGAGCCAAGTGTAGTGTAGTTATAGTAGCCAGGCTGTGTAGAGAAAAGTGAATGGAGGATGCGACTTAACTGGGTGAGCTGCAGAGTATAAGAAGCTTGAGGAACCAGAGAGGTTGGAGAGCACATTTACTTTGATTCTAGGGATGAGGGTAGTAGGAAGACAGAAAGATCTGGTTGAAGAGTGGGATTTCTGAGTGTGTCATTCATCCAACAGTCACTGAACATCGGCTTTGTCCATTTACTGTGGGAGGCTCTAGGAACAAAGAGAAGAATGGAGACCAGGTGGTTCCTGCCCTTAAGGAGCTCACAGCCCAGACTTCAGAGGTGGTGCCTTTCTAAGTGAAAACTAAAGTCCAGGATATGCTCTTGGAAGTGGTTTACTGCAGTAGGTTGGAGGGGAGGGTTGGTGGAGCAAAGGAAGCCACGCAGCTGGTAGGCTAGCATGTTGGATGTGTCATCCATAGGAGTTTATCAGTCCTGTAGAGAAAGTCAGGGTTTCTCTCTGCTCAGTCATTTCTCCAGGGCCATGTGTATCCTCTTACCATCCTCTGAGGTGGGAGCTATTTTTCTTTTCTTTTTTTTCTTTTTTGGCCATGCTGCGTGGCTTGTGGGATCTTAGTTCCCTGACCAGGGATCAAACCCGTGCCCCCACAGTGGAAGCACAAAGTCCTAACCGCTGGGGAAGGGAAGTCCCCAGGGAAGTCCCTGGGAGTTATTTTTCCTTTCAAGCTTTTGCATCTCAGACTCCATGTGACCACAATGAGGTCAGTCCTTGCATGGTTTTCTTTAGTGTAGAGTGGAGAGCGAGTGGGACTCAAAGAACTGATTCCATGCTTTGGTGCATGAGTCTCTAAAGAACTACTGATCTTGTGCTTTTTTGCCCTTACCAGTAAAATGGAGATAGGAAGATGCCACAAATCCTTTGTGAGGCAGAGGCAGCTGGGATAAGTAAAGATGTAAATAAATAAGCAAAAGTCGGATGCTGCAGGAGCTGGCAGGAAGCAGTGATGACGAATGAGTGTGTATGCATGGAGCAAGGGGACTGCTTAGGACTCTGGGACCTCTGTGACTGATTTCATTTTTTTCTACACAATTCTAAATGAAACTGGCAACCTAAAGGAGCTGTGTATAATCTAGGTCTTTCAGAGACCCCTGGTGGCTTCTCTAGCTGGGTTGAACAGAGGCCTTGAGATTTCTCCATGGAAGATACAGGCTGTGGGAATCCACTTGGCAGCATGTCCAGGTTTTTTGTGCCCACAGAGCTGCATGAGACTTCATTTCATGGCCCATCTGGGCATTACTATCTGGAAACTAAATTTCCTCCCTTCCTGTTCCAGAGAGGCTGGCTTGCAAACTTCACTGATGAGGAGCCACACAGGAGCCACTGTAGCTATTTTGTGGGTTTTGGCTGACAGAAGGGAAGAGGAGGCATACATCTTTTGATTTTTTACCCTTAGCTTCCCTCTTTGCTCTGATCTTGGGAGGTTGGTTTCTCTGACTGTCTCGTTCAAATTCCCGATTAAACTCTGGCAGTGGGCTTTATCCTTTCAGGGAATGCTATTTCATATCTTCAGGGGTCCAGACAAAGACCACCAAGGTTTCTCTGCTAAGCAGTTCATAACAACACCAGGTCTAAGACATGATGTGATCTCTCAGCCATGTGATGGCTCTCTGATATGTTTTATGCCGTTTTTCTTTTCTTTCAGAGCCTGAGAAGCCAACTGAGGCCAACCAAGTTTCAGAACCTCTACTGTCTGACACTAGCATCTCCAAGGATGAACCATTCTAACCAGATACTCCTCTACTCTTAAGAGTACACTTCTCCCCAGGTAGCTAAGGGGATAATAAGATTTTTTTGTTTTGTTTTTCGTTTTTGTTTTTTTGGCTGTGCTGCGTGGCATGTGGGATCTTAGTTCCCCAACCATTGATTGAACTGGCGCCCCCTGCATTGGAAGTGCAAAGTATTAACCAATGGACTACCAGGGAAGTCCTGATAATAAGGCTTTTTTATGACCCTTTGCACACCGTGTTATGAGATAGCCATCTGCATGGTGGCTTATATACCAGGGATGTGCACTGCTGCTACTGAAATATAAGATGAAATGTACTATCACCAGGCATACTTCATTTTGTATATCCAGTGGTTACACTCAGTATAGGTGGGTAGACTCAAGGTTCCAGAGAATATGAATTTGCAGCACTGGGAAATAGGTTATCTCTAATATGGAAACCAGTGAAAATGGCATGCAATGCATGCAATTAGTCATTCAGTTTAAGAGATGGTGCTTATAAGCCAGCTTGTCATCTTCATCAGGAGGCCAGCATGTGTACAGGAAGACAAAATTCTGAGAGGTAGGTGTTGGAAAGAAGCTGTCTCCTCAATTGTGCCACAGATTTTCAGTAATTAGGTGAAGGAGCTTTGGGTCATAGATGAAAAAAAGCTGTCAAAGAGTAAGAAGTATAAGAATTAGTAGGTGCTGTCCAAAGAAAGTGTGCTGCAATTCTGGTTTACTGGCCCTAGAGTGTTCTTTAGACATCATTTTCCCCTAGAATATTGTGGGTTTAATCCAATGGATAATCACAGGGAGAAAACCCTGGCTTTGAAAATATATGGCTGCTTAGTTGTAATTCTGCCCTAGCCAAGATAATCCCCAGGGTCAACTTGTCTAGAAGAGAATCTGATCTAGATCTTATGCCAGGTGGCTCTCCAGTTATGAATTAATAAACTGGTATTGGTTGATGTTGTATTTTCTTTTTCCTTTCTTTTTTTGAAAATAAATTTATTTATTTTATTTTTGCATTGGGTCTTCATTGCTGCACGTGGGGTTTCTCTAGTTGCAGCAAGAGGGGGCTACTCTTCATTGCGGTGCATGGGCTTCTCATTGGAGTGACTTCTCTTGTTGCGGTGGCTTCTCTGTTGCAGAGCATGGGCTCTAGGCACACGGGCTTCAGTAGTTGTGGCGCATGGGCTTAGTTGCTCCACGGCATGTGAGATCTTCCCGGACCAGGGCTTGAACCCGTGTCCCCTGCATTGGCAGGCGGATTCTTAACCACTGCGCCACCAGGGAGATCCCCTGATGTTTTATTTTCTTGAGGGCTTGGTTGATGTGATTTGTTCTCCCAGAGTCTATTTACTTCTGGTCATGGAACACAGAATTGGTGGCCCAGGGCTTGGACCTGTGGTGTTCTGAGCAAGGCCGCTAGGAGCTGCCAAGCAGACCTCTCTCTGACACCTTTCTTGCTGTAATGGTGATGTGCATGAGGTTCACAAACACTGAGAGTTTCTTAGGTTGATCAATGAGGTAATGATGTTTGTTCTAGAGCAGGGTTTCTCAACCTCGATGCATTAACATTTGGGGCCAGATAGTTCTTTGTTGTGGGGGTGCCGTTCTATACATTGTAGGATTTTAGCAGTATCCTTGCCTCCTACTAGATGCCAGTATCAACCTCCACTGGAGTTGTGACAACCAACTGTACCCTGGGGAGCACACTGCCCAAGGTTGAGGATCACTATTTTAGGAACTAACCAGTGATAAGGGATTTCCTTGAGGACTAGAGCATAAAATTTCACTTGTAGGTGGATGAGTTCTTCATGCCCCTTACCTTTATATTGGTTAAGTGTATTAGGGTTCTCCAGAGAAACAGAAACAGAAACATATATATTTTTTACATAAATATATAACAATAGATTATTATTATGAAGAAGAATCGGTTCACATAATCATAGAGGTTGAGAAGTCCCATGATTTGCCATACACAACCTTGCAACATGGAGACACAGGAAAGCCAGCGGTGTAGTTCAGTCCAAGTCCAAAAGCCTGAAAACCAGGGGAGCAAATGGTGTAAATCTCAGTCTGAGGCCAGAGAAGACAAGATGAGATGTGATGCTCCAACTCAGCAGTGAGGCAGGAAAAAAGAGGCTAGTTCCTCCTTCCTCTGCCTTTTGTTCTATTCAAGCTCTCAATGGATTGGGTAATGCCCATTCATATTGGGGAGGGCAATCTACTTTAGTTAGTCTACCTATTGCTAATCTTATCTGGAAACACCTTCATAGACACACCCAGACATAATGTTTAATCTGGACATCCCATGGCCAGTCAATTTGACTCATAAAATTAAGCATCACAGTAGGAGATGCAGAAATGCTTTAATTACAGGGCAAATCACCAGTGGAGAGTGTCTAGAACTACCTGGAGTAGTTTCATCACTATTAAGGGAGGGCTCAGGGAGTTTGGCTCTGGGAGTCATCACGTATCTAACTTCTGCAGACCTTGTCTCATTGGCAGCTGCCCTGAACAGAATCTCTTATGCTGAGTCCTGCCCTCTGTCTCAGTGTCCTCATGAAGGACTTGCCCTCCTACCCTAGATCAGATTTATAAAGGATGCATTAAGTGAAACTCCTCCTAAGCCTATGCTGTTATAATATCTGAGTGCTCAGGCTGAAGGGGATCACAGAAGTCAGGCAGAGCATTTTGCAAACTCTATTAGGCATCTTACAAAATGAGAGTCTGATTCCAAAGGTCTGGGTGCCCAGGCTTATGCAGATCTAACAAGCTCCTAAGTGATGTCAATCCTGCTGGTCCTTGTACCATAATTTGAGTAGTAAGAATCTAGGCCAGAGGGCTGCAGACTATGTATGGTCCGTGGGCCAATCTGGGTCCACCACCTACTTTTGAAAATAAGGTTTTATTGTAACACAGCCACACTCATTCTTTTGTGGCTGTTTGTGGCGGTTTTGACACCACGATGGCAAAAGCTGAGTAGTTGAGACAGAGAGCATATAGCCCTCAGAGCCCTTTCATAGTAAAGTTATAAGTGTGTACTGACCCCCGCTTTACGTTGACTTGTGCTACATGGACCATAGGGGGTTTTCCTGTTCACTCTATAGTTTGGCCCACCAGCAGTGGTTTTTCCTGACCGTCAGCCTGCCTTCTTTGTCCCCCTTTCTTTTACCTCTGGCTCTTGCAACCCTCTCCATTAGTGCCTGGGGCATGGAGAGACTCGCAGGAAGAATTTCTGTGCCATGGTTAAGCTTCCGTCTTGCATGTGGTCCTTTCATAGTCCTGAAGAAGTACTCTGCTTGGCACCCCACTCAGAGCCAGTCAGCCCTGGTGTCCTTTTAGTCTTCAAAGTGACTCACTCTAAGACCTGTTCAGAAATACTCTCTGGGACTTCCTCATGCATACAAAGCTCATGCCTAATTGCTCTTTCTGTTTTTCAGCCAGCCAGAATTGACTGAGAACCTCCTTTCATCAGGCACCATGCTAGGTACCAGGGTAATAAGGACTTGTAAGAAGTCTCTTCAGTAAACCAATAATTCCAATTGTAATATCATAGGTGCAATATCAGAAAAATATTCTAATACTTAGATAGACAAAAAAAGAATCTGGAGGATTTTGAGCTTTACTGCATTAGACCTTTCTTTTTAAATAAAACATGAATTTTTATTAATTTTTACACAAACCCATTTTTTCATCCATTGACATGATATGTTTTTCCTCTTAATCTATAAATGTGATAGATTACAATTATTTACATTCAATGTTTTTATAAGTGAGATAATAACATCTTTTACTTAAAATTAAGCAATATCCATAATTTGATATAAATTAGAATTTTATTGACTTCAATTTTTTAAATCAAAGTGCAGTTGATGTACAATATTCTGTAAATTACAGGTGTACAATATAGTTATTCACAGTTTGTTTTTTTAATGGAGAGCCAAGAGGTGTTAGTCTTTTCTTCTTTTTCTTTCTTTATTTTTTTAGACTTGATTTCTCTAGGCGCGCGGACTTCAGTAGTTGTGGCTCACAGGCTCTCGAGCTCAGGCTCAGTAGTTGTGGCTCATGGGCTTAGTTGCTCTATGGCATGTGGGATCTTCCTGGACCAGGGATTGAACTTGTGTCCTCTGAATTGGCAGGCGGATTCTTAACCACAATGCCACCAGGGAAGTCCCCACAGTTTTTAAAGGTTATACTCCATTTTTAATTATTATAAAATATCGGCTATATTCCCTGCGTTGTACAAGATATCCTTGTAGCTTATTTTGTACATAATAGTTTGTACTTCTGAATCCCCTACTCTATATTGCCCCTCCCCCTTCCTCTCTCCACTGATGCACTAGTTTGTTCTCTATATCTGCAAGTCTTCTTTTTTGTTATATTCACTAGTTTGTTGTATTTTTTAGATTCCACATATAAGTGATATCATATAGTATTTTGACTTTAATTTTAATATCTCTATAATTCTGCTACCATTCCTATTAACTGAAAATCAATATTTGATTGCTGGATTCTCTAAAGAATCTTTAAAATTTAACCTATAAAATTCATTGTTGTACCTCATCAACATCTTATATTTATTATTATTAATTTTAAAAATTGTGGTAAAATAAATATAACATAAAATTTGCTATTTTAACCATTTTTAAGTGTACAGTTCAGTGGCATCAAGTACATTTACTTTGTTGTGCAACCATTATCATTATCCATGTCCAGAACACTTTTCATCTTGCAAAACTGAAACTTTGTACTCTGTACCAATTAAACAATAATTTCTTATTTCTCCCTTCTCCCAACCCCTGACAACCACCATTCTGCCTTCTGTCTACGAATTTGACTATTCTAGGTACTTCATATAAGTGGAATCATACCATATTTGTTCTTTTGTGACTGGCTTGCTTCACTTAGCATAATGTCCTCAAGGTTCATCCATGTTGTGCATGTGTCAGAATTTCACAGGTACATGTAAAAGTATGAGATTAGAACACTCCCTAACACCATACACAGAAATAAGCTTAAAATGGATTAAAGACCTAAATGTAAGGCCAGAAACTATCAAACTCTTAGAGGAAAACATAGGCAGAACACTCTATGACATAAATCACAGCAAGATCCTTTCTGACCCACCTCCTAGAGAAATGGAAATAAAAACAAAAATAAACAAATGAGACCTAATGAAACTTAAAAGCTTTTGCACAGCAAAGGAAACCATAAACAAGACCAAAAGACAACCCTCAGAATGGGAGAAAATATTTGCAAATGAAACAACTGACAAAGGATTAATCTCCAAAATTTACAAGCAGCTCATGCAGCTCAATAACAAAAAAACAAACAACCCAATCCAAAAATGGGCAGAAGACCTAAATAGACATTTCTCCAGAGAAGATATACATATTTCCAACAAACACATGAAAAAATGCTCAACATCATTAATCATTAGAGAAATGCAAATCAAAACTACAATGAGATATCATCTCACACCAGTCAGAATGGCCATCATCAAAAAATCTAGAAACCATAAATGCTGGAGAGGGTGTGGAGAAAAGGGAACACTCTTGCACTGCTGGTGGGAATGTAAATTGATACAGCCACTATGGAGAACAGTATGGAGGTTCCTTAAAATACTACAAATAGAACTACCATATGACCCAGCAATCCCACTACTGGGCATATACCCTGAGAAACCCATAATTCAAAAAGAGTAATGTACCAAAATGTTCATTGCAGCTCTATTTACAATAGCCCGGAGATGGAAACAACCTAAGTGTCCATCATTGGATGAATGGATAAAGAAGATGTGGCACATATATACAATGGAATATTACTCAGCCATAAAAAGAAATGAAATTGAGCTATTTTTAATGAGGTGGATGGACCTAGAGTCTGTCATACAGAGTGAAGTAAGTCGGAAAGAGAAAGACAAATACTGTATGCTAACACATATATATGGAATCTAAGAAAAAAAATGTCATGAAGAACCTAAGGGTAAGATGGGAATAAAGACACAGACCTACTAGACAATGAACTTGAGGATATGGGGAGGGGGAAGGGTAAGCTGTGACAAAGTGAGATAGTGTCATGGACATATATACACTACCAAACATAAAATAGATAGCTAGTGGGAAGCAGCCGCATAGCAGAGGGAGATCAGCTCGGTGCTTTGTGACCACCTTAGAGGGGTGGGATAGGGAGGGTGGGAGGGAGGGAGATGCAAGAGGGAAGAGATACAGGAACATATGTATTTGTATAACTGATTCACTTTGTTATAAAGCAGAAACTAACACACCATTTTAAAGCAATTATACTCCAATAAAGATGTTTAAAATAAAAGACTGTGGGTAATATTCCATTGTATGCATATACCACATTTTGTTTATCCATTTGTCTGTGGATGGACACTTTGATTGATTTACCTTTAGGCTGCCATAATAATGCTTCATCATAATTTGTGTACAAATGTCTGTTCAAGTCCCTGCTTTCAATTCTTTTGGGTGTAGACCCAGAGGTGAATTGCTGAATCATATGGTAATTCTATTTTTAATTTTTTGAGAAACTGCCACACTGTTTTCCATAGTGCCTCTACAATTTTACCTTCCCGTCAACAGTACAAGGGTTCCTCTCCAATCCTCTCCAGCACTTGCTATTTTCTGTTTTGTTTTGTTTTGTTTTTGATAGTAGCCATCCTAATGGATGTGGGGTAGTATCTCATTGTGTTTTTGATTTGTGTTTCCCTAATGATTAGTGATGTTGAGCATCTTTTCATATGCTTATTGGCCATTCATGAATCTTCCTTGAAGAAAGGTCTATTCGAATCCTTTGCCCATTTTTTAATCAGGTTGTTTGTTTTTTGCTGTTGTTGTGTTGTAGGAGTTCTCTATAATCTAGATATTAATCCCTCATCAGATATATGATTTGCAAATATTTTCTCCCATTCCATTGGTTGCTTTTCACTCTGTTGATTGTATCCTTTGATGCACAGAAGTTTTAAGTTTTGATGTAGTCCAACTTATCTATTTTTATTTTGTTGCCTGTGCTTTTGGTGTCAAGTCCAAGAAATCATTTCCAAATCCAGTGTCATGAAGCGCTTCCTCTATGTTTTCTTCTAAGAGCTTTATAGTTTTAGCTCTTCCACTTAGGTCTTTTATCCACTTTTAGTTAATTTTTTTTTTTTTTTTTTTTTAATATGGTGTAAGATAAGGATTGAACTTCATTCTCTTGCATGTGGATATCCAGTTTTCTCAACAAGACTATTCTTTCCAAATTGTATGGTCTCTTATTGAAAATAATTTAACCATACATGTAAGGTTTTATTTCTGGGCTCTCTATTCCATTTATCCATATGCCTGTCTTTATGCAAGTACAACACTGTTTTGATTACTGTAGCTTTGTAATACATTTTGAAATGAGGAAGTGTGAGACTTCCAGCTTTGTTTTTTTTTATTAGGATTGTTTTGGTAATTTGGATTGCTTGATATTCCATATGAATTTTAGTATGGATTTTTCTATTTCTGAAAAAAAGGAAGTCTTTGGGATTTTGAGACTACAGTAGAGCTTTTGAATTCTCTCTTACAGGAAACGTTAGCCAGGGAGGAAGGACATTTAGGCAAAGGAAGGGTACAACCAAAAGCATGAAAAGATAAAAGAGCTTAGTGTATTTGGGGAACTGAAAGTAATCTGGTATTGTTGAAGCATTAGGCATACTTGTATCTCTGTGTATATGTGTAAGAGTGTAGACTTGGGTAGGAGATGAATTAAGAGCCAAAATAGAGGTCAGATATTGTGAAAGTGGATGTGTTTTGTGTTAAGAAGTTTAATGGGGATTAAACTTCTTAACATTAATGAAGGGTTGGACTATGGAGTGAAGTGATCAGATTTGTACTTTATAAAAGATAACCCTGATGGTAAAAGTGGGTGCTAGATTGAATAGGAAGAGGTATTTGCAGAAGCATCAGATAGGAGACTGTTGGAAAACTCACAGAAATAAAATGATGAGACTTGCACTATAGTAGGATTAGTGGGGATAGAAAGGAGGGAATGGACCTGAAACAGCTTTGTCCTACTATATACTCAGAAATATTCCAGTGGCTTCACTCTCTTCCTAGGTCCTGAAGTCCTCAGACCTGCAGAGCAGTTTCTGAACTTAGGGTGGTGGTTCCAAGTCTTCACCTGTATCATCAGTTGTCACCTTTTAGGAACTCAAATGGCTGTTGAAGACTCAGAGGTACAGGGGTCCCTCAGCAACAGCTAGCCCACTCCTCATCTGCCACTATCTGGGCCTCTGGCTGCTTCAAGGACCTTGTGTTCGTTTCTGTCCTACCTGTGGGTTGGTCTGTCTTTTCTTGCTTTGGTCTTCCCTGAGCCCACTGGAATTCACCAAAGTGAGAGTTGTCTTATCTGTTGTGACCCATTCCATCCACCTATGGAATTGCAGCTCTCCAGGCCCTCTGAATGTGATCCATGTTACCAATGTCTGTGACCCACCTGAGAACCTGTTTCTTCTGAAAGGACTGGAACCTTCTGCTTCCCTAGCTTTCCCTAACCTGACATCCTTCCATACCCTGTGACTCAGTTCCCTGTCTTCAGATAGAGTGGCACTGAATAGGAGTCATTAAGATCTCTGCCACTTGAAATCCTCAGCTCTCTGCTAGGGCTTCACTGAATGGGTAATGATAATGCTGGTTCTAAACAGCAGCAGCAGCTGGGGAAAGAATGTGCTCCCCCAGCCAGAGGCTGAGCCACTGAATACTGAGATCCCAAGTTCCTGTTCTGAACCCTGATGATCAGTTCCTTTGATGGGCCGTTTGTGGCAGTGCATGTATGTTTGGTTGGCCCATCACAGTCACAGGTGGAGTCATGGAGCTAGGGGCAGGTAGCAGCCTCGAGCTCCCAAGTTCTTGGGGGCATTTTAGAACAGGAACCACTTTGGGAGTTCTGAAATAGTCAGCTCTGACCCATTGCCAAGAATGCACATTTGGTGATACGTGGGATGAAGCAAGCTGATCAAAGTACACAAGTGCCATCAGTACAGGGGAAAGCAGAGCCAGGTGAAAAGCAGGCTGTGGCTTGGGGTAAAAATGCAGTGATTAAAGTGATGATGGACTGAACCTCATAGGCAAACCAGGAAGAATGCAATAAAAAGGATCAAGGAAAGGTGAGGGAGAAGTGTTAAAATGGGAAATTGGAAGGAGATGGGGAAGAGAAAGGAGAAAGGCCAGGAAAAACAGATTTAAGGAGTTGCTGCTTCTTTGAAAGCCAAGAAGCTGTTAGAGCAAAGAGTACAAGATCTCAGATCTTTGCAGCCCCCTGGCTGGGAAGGTTGGACTGGATTTTGTTCTTGAGCCCAGGCTACCTGGAGCACAGCCTCAGGAAATCAGAATGTGATTTCTCATCACTCACTTTGTGTTCCCAAACAGAAGAGAAGAGAGGGAGGGTGGCCACCTTGATCCAGCTGAAGCATCTCCAGGAGGCCTTTTCTGGATGTCACATCGAGGCTGCCCTTCTACCACAACACGGAGCTGGTGATCCCCGAGTTCGTGGACATGGCTTTGCTCAGCAATATCCTAGAGGCCTATTCCTTTGTCTCAGGTAGTTGTTCAGTCTCAGCTGGGCCAGGTCTGAGGCCTGGGGCTGGGTAGAGCCATCTCCTGGGTGGCCATCTCTGGTCTTATACTCAGGAGAGAAATGCCTCTCATAACAGAGGGGCTCTGTGGTACTGAGTTTTGAGATGAAACGTTTTCTGGTTTGAAACTTAAGCTTTCTCTAATTTGGCAAATGGGGGGTTCTAAGAGCTTTATCTTGCTGAAAAATATTCGGTTTCCTTTTGGGCTCGGGTGAATGAAATAGCCTGGGGCTACTGTTGGCTTCTGTCATTAAGCATTTAACTGATATGTAAGGCCAGAATGGAGTATCCTCAGCCTGATTATTTCTATGCAGTGGTTCTCAACTCCTCCCAGGGTGTGTGTGTGTGTGTGTGTGTGTGTGTGTGTGTGTGTGTGTTTATGTGTAGTCTGTGTTTGGGGGGTTGTGTGAGAAGTTTGATAACCTTCTGGGAGACATAGAGACAGAAAGTATGTGAGTCTGGGAGAGTCTAATATTTGCTCCCTCCTTGGTTCACAGTTGTTTCTTTTAGAAAGATGGCTGACTTTCTCCTCAAGATCATTTCTTGAGAACAGGTGCTGTTTACATAAAAGGAGTCATTTAAAAATACATGAAAATATACCCAATAAAGCTAAAATTTTAAAAAAATACATGAAAATGCTGAATAGTTTAAATGACCAAATTGATTTTCTTCTGCTTGAGTGAGTTTAAGGTTTTGGTAGTTTGCTTTATTTTATTTGGCCTTATGTCTCTGTTTGTTGTATAAAAGGAAGAGACTGTGGTTCTGATTAGGTTTCCCCTGGGGGACTGGTTTTACTTTCTAGTTCTCTGGTCAGGCTTGATATGTGGTGACCTCAGAGTTCAGGTACAAAACCTGACACTTCTATTTACAATGGCAAATCTGAGCTAGGGTTGAGGATAAAGGAAGTTCATGGCTTTTTGCTGAGAGAGCATCTTGGATGACGTGCAACCTGATTTTAGAAAGGAGGACTTCTCAGGAGCCTGGCTGGCTCCTTTGTGGTTGGCAAGATGCAGCATGTAGTCTTCACATGCCTCAAGTCCAGGGTTCTCTCTTTTCAGATCAGCAAAGGCTCAGGTCATCAGTCAGCTCCTCACCTCCCAAAGGAAGTTCAGTGCCTGGGGCCTCCTTACCTGGGCACCCACACATCAGAGAAATCTCAGTTCTGCTCATTCTTCTAGGCTATTCTGGAGAGAAAGGACACTGGAGCTAGAAAAGAGATGTTTGAAACTCTGGTATCATGTTTTCACAAGCAATTAAATTGATGATCTCCTCAATTCTATAGTGAGGACACCCCAAAATGAAGTGGGGCGTGGCAGGGAGGGTCTGGAATTTCCAGGCCTCAGATGACACTTGCAAATAAGCTGTTGTAAGAAAATATCTTGGGTGAGAGCAAACAGGCTTCTGGACTTTGGAACTCTACTCAGCACAAGAAGTACCTGGCGGCTTTTCCATTTTGACCAGGATGACCCTGAGTTGTGATCATTGAATGCCCTGGTGTTTACCACGTGTCTTATGATCTTGTTAAGGTGAAAGGGTACATGGCCCTGTTTTTCTCTCCCCTTCAACCTTTTTCCTTCCCACTCCATATTCTGGAATTAAATATTGCTTAGGATGCAGGAAGATAATGCTTCTTTTAAGTAAATATGGGCTGAGATAAAAAGAGAAGGAAAGGAAATGGAAAGTGGAGTGGCTAAAATAAATTGCATTAGATCAAGTAAATAGACTTGGTGGCTAAAAATTCACTCTGAGTGTGATTCAGAACACTGCCTGACTATAAAGGAAATGAATTTAAAAATTTAAAATATGGGGGGCTTCCCTGGTGGTGCAGTGGTTGAGAGTCCACCTGCCAATGCAGGGGACACGGGTTCGTGCCCCGGTCGGGAAGATCCCACATGCCGCACAGCGGCTGGGCCCGTGAGCCATGGCCGCTGAGCCTGCACATCTGGAGCCTGTGCTCCGCAACGGGAGAGGCCACATCAGTGAGAGGCCTGTGTACCACAGAAAAAAAAAAAAAATTAAAATATGAAGGTGAAGATAACAGCCCCTAACCGCTCCTATTTTCTCCCAGTTTATCAGTTGCCTCATCCATGTGGTCCATCATTTCAGGAACACACTTGCTAATACACATAACTCCTTTATTCCTTTGTCTAGTTTCTGGTTAAACCAACAGGCAAAATCCCAACTCTTAAGTAAACCCTTCTTTCTCCCCTTTCTCCCTCTGCATTCAAGTAACCAAACACTGTTACAACTTTGCAGATTGAAACCATTAAGAAATTCATGGAATTTGGCCTTAGCTGAGGCTTTGTAATACTGCGTCATTCTTTCTATTTGCTTTTGGATACATCTTGCTCCCATTCTTCACAATACCCATTTTAAACCTTGACCAAGGTATGATTTAAAATATCTGTTTATCAAAATGTACCCGTATTTGGCAAATGCAAACTAAGAAAAAAAGGCAGCATTAATGAAGAAGGGTTAAAGTTAATATATAAAGAGCTCTTACAAATCAACAAAGGATAAGTGTCCCAAAAGAAAAGTGGACAAAGGATAAGAATCAGCAGTTTGCCAAAGAAAAAATACAGATTACTGGTAAAACATAAGGAGCTCAATGTCTAGCAATTAAACAAATGCAAAATGAAACCAACAGTGAGGTTAACATTTTTTTTTTTTTTTTTTTTTTTGTGGTACGCGGGCCCCTCACTGTTGTGGCCTCTCCCGTTGAGGAGCACAGGCTCCGGATGCATAGGCTCAGCCTCAGCGGCCATGGCTCACGGGCCCAGCCGCTCCGTGGCATGTGGGATCTTCCCGGACCGGAGCACGAACCCGTGTCCCCTGCATCGGCAGGCAGACTCTCAACCACTGCGCCACCAGGGAAGCCCCCAAGGTTAACATTTTAATTTTATAAAATTCTCAAATATTTGAGCGATTACATTTATAATTTCAATTTTGGAGAAAGTGTAGGGAGATGAGTACTTGCACATATTGCTGATGGGATTATAAATTGCTATAGCCTCTCTAGAAAATGATTTGGGAACAAATGTCAAAAGCCTTAAAACTACATATAGCATTTAGCCAGCAATTCCACAGCTAGGAATTTATCCTAATGAAATAATTAGGGATATGGGTCAAAATTTTACTGTGAAGGCAGTTTATCTCAGAACTGTTTATAATAGTAAAAAAAAAAATGTAGGTGAATATTAATTTAAGTAGAAAGATGTTTATGATGTGCTGTTAAGTAAACAAAGCCTGTTACCACACAGCATATACAGTATAATCCCATTATGTGTGTATATTCATATGTATATATAACCACATTTTACTACAAACTATATCTGGATGCTGGGATTGTATGAGTATGTGTCTGTGTATTTTTAATTCTCTTTTGCTTAGATGTATTTATAAGTGTTCTATACTTCATTGATATTAGTTTTGTAATAAGTAATGTTATTTTATTGAAATTTAAAAATTTGAAATATATATATATGCGTGTATATATATATAAATAAATATATAAATATATATATATATATAAAATTACCACTGCCTTACTCTTTTCTGACTTCTCTAGCTGAGTATCTAAATGACCTGAACGTTACCACTTAGATGTGCCATAAGTGTTTCAAATTGAACCTGACCTGGAATGGAATATTGTTCCCTTTAAATATGCTTCTTTTTTAAAAATTGAACTATAGTTAATTTACAATTTTGTGTTAGTTTCAAGTATACAGTAAAGTGATTCAGATATATATATATTATATGTGTAATATACGTAATATATAAAAAATATATATTTAAATATATGCTTTTACATGTAAAAGAATGTATATATTTTATATATATAAAAAGAATATATATATATATTCTTTTTCAGATTCTTTTCCATTATAGGTTATCACAAGATATTGAGTAGAGTTCCCTGTGCTATACAGTAGGACCTTGTTGTTTACCTATTTTATATATAGTAGTGTGTATATGTTAATCCCAGACTTCTCATTTATTCCTCCCCACCTTTCCCCTTTGGTAATAAGTTTGTTTTCTATGTCTGTGAGTCTATTTCTGTTTTGTAAATAAGTTCATTTGTATCATTTTTTTAGATTCCACATATAAGTGATATCATATATTTGTCTTTCTCTTTCTGATTTGCTTCACTAGTATGATGATTTCTAGGTCCATCCATGTTGCTGCAAATAGCATAATTTCATTCTTTATTTATGGCTGAGTGATATCCCATCGTGTATATATATATATACATATATATATATGTATATATATATATACCACATCTTTATCCATTCATCTGTCAGTGGACATTTAGGTTGCTTCCATGTCTTGGCTATTGTAAATAGTGCTGCTATGAACATTGGGGTGCATATATCTTTTTGATTAGAGTTTTCTCCGGATATATGCCCAAGAGTGGGATTGCAGGATCACATGGTAACTATTTTTAGTTTTTTAAGGAACCTCCATAATGCTCTCCATAGTGGCTGCACCACCTAACATTCTCATCAACAGCGTAGGAGGGTTCTTTTTTCTCCACACTCTCTCCAGCATTTATTATTTTTAATGATGGCCATTCTGACTGGTGTGAGGTAATACCTCATTAGAGTTTTGATTTGCACTTCTCTAATAATTAGTGATGTGGAGTATCTTTTCATGTGTTTGTTGGCCATCTGTATGTCTTCTTTGGAGAAATGTCTATTTAGGTCTTCTGCCCGTTTTTTGATTGGGTTTTTGTTTTTTTGATATTAAGCTGTATGAGCTGTTTGTATATTTTGGAAATTAATCCCTTATCAGTAGCATTGTTTGCAAATTAAATATACTCCTTATTTTGTTTACCATCTAGGGCATCACCTATACTAGAAATATGATTTTTAGCCTTTGATGCATCTTCTTCACTGCCCATATCCAATCACTTACAGTTGGTCCATTTTACCTTTCAATGTCCCTGAAATGCCTCCCTTCTACT